GTCTCGCGTTGCATTGCCACTCGCTCTTACCTAAGTGCCGTGATTACGCCCGTGACCGGAATCGAGACTGGGCCGACTGCATTGCATCGTATTGCCCAAGTACGGAGTTGGAGCTGCTTCAGCGGAATTTCAAACAGTAGCAGATCTCTTTTGCGGTGTATGTCTGTTTATCGAGGAAGCAGTTGCCATTAGAATCGAAACTATAGGCAGAGAAAACTATCGTGGGTATCTTGGCGCGTGAGATAAAAATCTTTTGCCCGAAGCGTTAGAATTCTCAAACGCTGACGTTTTTAATGTCTAAATATTGCACCGTGAATAAATAAAATATATATAATAATATATATATAATTAAATTAATATAAATTAATACACTATTAAATTAATTAATAATAGAACTTACTATATTGTTTAATAAATAGTCTTAAAGGAAAAATGATATATAACGATCTAATAAATATTGTTAATAATTTTTAAATACAATAAATAATAATTTTTATTTAATTACATATACGTATGTAACTAAACAAAATTGCAAATATTAATAGACCAATCTGGCAGTAATTGCAGCAGCTGTTATACTCGTTGGAATTCTCATAATAATAATGCTCAATCCTGTCTCGTACGACGAATAGATTGTATAATATATAAAGGAGCTTATCAGAATTGGATTAATATTAATACGTATGAAAGAGAATAATTATATATATCATATATAGATTAATTTATTAAATTAGCATTAAAAGCTGGATAATACTGTATATTAATATATATATATATATACTTTATGTAATTATTTCGGTTATTGTATTGAGAGAACGTACATGCATATTCATTATCCATAACTCTGAGAATGATGTAACGATGTACGCGCGCAGAGCTTTGTAGTTCAATTTAGTAGTAATCTTATTCACATATTCCATGTCCTCGGGCGATCCAAGGGAACCCCGGAAGCAGATAGATGAGCAAATTAACACATCCATGAAATTGCAAAATGTACAATTGTATTCGACGCGATATAACTTATTAATACAGATCTCCACAGTACATATATTATTCGCGATACAAAGCTTTCCCAAAAATTCAATTTTTTTTCTCGAAACAATTCTCTTCTTTATATTTATTTCTGAGAGAACGTGAATTCTCAATCGTCCCGCGTTCCTTATCAACGTAAGTAAATTTGTTGCGAATTTCCGGATATCATTTGCCTAGCATCTCGAGCGAATATCACGTTTCTCACGCCGAACATTATTACCGGAAAACAAATCGCACGGCGTTTTAACGTCGCCGATGCTGTTAGCTTCCGAATCGACCGTGTTCGTAAATCAATTCGCCCTAATAAGAGTCGCGCACGAGGGGGGGGGGAGGGGAAGGGAGAGAGGATCCGATTAAAGTCTATCATATCCCGGCGGAGGAGGCGATTACTGTCGCTGCGCAAGAACGAAGGTCTACGAAGGTGCATTCCGTGCAACAGCCGGCGGCCCGTTACGATGATCCCGTGCTTCGGGGCGTTCCGGCAGGAGTCTTCACGTAGTCGGCTGCGAAGATGACCAGATTACAGGTTTCTCAGTGCAGGAAGTCATGAGATGCTTAATTGCGTTTGTCACGACCCTACATGGCGGCGTATCTATCTCGGTCCGATGTGTTCGGCTCTCCTTTTTCTTCTCCCCCTTCTTCTCTCTCTCTCTCTCTTTTTCTCTCGGATCGTGCCGAAGCAATACAATGCCAGGATAAATTAACCGGTAGGCGGTACGGCCGACGCGACTGACTGAGAGCGGCTATAAACCGATCTTGTAAGGAGAGCTTGCCCCAGGTGGCCAGTTAACCGCTTAACCTTAAAAAAAGAATATATATATATAGCCCTGTTCTCTCGGGCCCTTCGCCACCCCTGCTCGTCTGCTGGACCCACCACTTCTCTCAAGGTTTTCTCTTCATCTGATGCGCGTGAACGGGCCATCCTCTCGGACACGCTCGTTCGCTCACAAGTCAGCGAATCTTCGATACGCACGTCGCGCTATTTATCCTGGACTATATGCGCAAACTATACGACGGATTTATTATGATTTACATAACGGACGAAGGAGATCGATTGCTTAATCTTTCGCCTCCCGATCGAGGAGGCTGCGTCATCCCGGAAGAGACGGAGTCGAGAGATTCTCGTCGGTTCAGACTCTAACCGATGGAAATCGTTGCGTACCAAGATGCGCGCGCGTATTCGCGATTGCAACATTTATTTTCAGACGAGATGCATTACCGAGATGTCGATTCCGCGGTAGATAAATGGGTGAAATTGTTTCGCGGAGCGACTGCTATTTGTATCTGTATATATGTCACCGCGCGCTCCGTCGTCTTAACTCGCGACGGAGCAGGGATGCAAGTGCAATGGGATTTCCTCGTCATTGCGCAAAATATTTGTTACGCGCGTGATTAGCGTAGGAATTTATCGAATAGTAAGGTTTTTTTTTTAATCGAAACATTGCATAAATTTTTTTGATGTTAAATATTACACACAAATTTTTAATTATCTTTAAGATATTTAAATTCTAGATTATACATAAACAAATATTATATTACTGTTAACTGACAAAATAATATTTGAATAAAATTAAATATAATAAAAAGAATGATTAAAAATAGATTTAATAGAGAGAAAGGAAAAACGAGAAAGTAAAGATAATGCAATGACATCGGATCATGATATAGTCTTTAGATAACCGTAATAAAGAGATAGCGCGCGATATAATATGTATTATGCTTTTATATCATATAAGAGGCAACAATCCGTAGTAAAGTCGTCGTATCAGAGAAGATTACATAGACTACCGCGAGAGGTTCGCGGATAAGGGATGCGTTTAAAATGCATCCCCGGACGTTTGGGGATTTCTTTGGTTATTCCGCTTCTCGTCGTCCGTTCAAGGGGAAAAAGTCAACATCGCTCCGGTAAACAGGGAGCAACGTAAATTCTCAGCCTTGTCTCTAGGTATTATTCAGGCTTAGTGGATGCTACAGCCACGACCGTGGAGGAAGCTCAGTCTGCGAGCTCAAACAAACGGTTCTAATCCGTTTAACATAAATACCACGTGGTTTAATTAAATCGCGTACCGCAAGCTAATCGTCCCGGCGTTGTCTACAGATACACGGCTTTTTCTTCCTTAGACATCGAGATTACCGCACGATGGATCGATATTTCTTCATAATGCGATGCTTCTTAATTCGGAGAATCTTGTAAAAGTACCGCATTGATTCAATCTTGTTGTAAGCGTACAGTTAAGCTTATATAATATTCTCGCAGATTCATTTATTATTCTTTTATTATTCACGATACTTTAACCGCGGCTCCATTAACTATTTTCGATAAAATTGATTTTATCAAATTTTGATAAAAATCGTTAAGAACTTATTAATTTATGTCATTTTATACGCATTTGCCTACATTTATTTATTAGCACATTAATATTTCTTGCAGGATTTATTTCTTTTGTCAAGTTGATGAATTTTATGGAAACAGCTTTATACATATTTTTTAAAAGATATAAAAAATTTAAAAACGTAATATAAAATAAGCAAAAGAATTTGATATCCCTATTAGAAAATAATTTTAATTATATATAATTCAAAGACATGAAAGGAAATAAAAAATTCTTTAAAAAAAATTACAAAATTAAAATTTCATTTAATTAACGCGTAATTTCTGTTAACACTCGAACTCGTTATTGTTTAACATTCCTTACAATGGCATTTTGTGTGGCGATATTTTGTAATCTCAGTGCTTGGAACATATTAACTTATCGGAATGTATATATCGACATTTTCACCGATAAACTCGATGTTACAAGCAAACCTTTTCGGTTATCTCTAGAGCACTTTAGTAACAATGCCTTGAAGACAATGTGAAATAATCTCTATAGGCCGCATTCACAGAGTGTCAACGCAATAATTTTCATCCTGAACCATTTCTCGAGCTCGTTGTACGACGACAACGACGACGACGACGGCAACGCGCTTAAAATAGTAAGGAAAGGGAGATGAATTTCCTTACTCAGGCTAATCTCGTAGAAGAGACGGTCCTTTGTAAATACTTCGGAGGCTTTGTCTGAAGTTACCGCGGCAACGAAACTCTCGGGCTTCTATCTTAATCATTCGACTAACGCAGTGCTCGCAATGCAGCCCGTCTTACCCGCACGATTAGAATCTCGCGCTACGTTTTTCCGAAATACACGAGGGGGACGTATAGTGTATTCCCCACTTTCTCCTTCTCTCCCCGGTAGGACCCGAAGAACGAGAAATTGACGATCTCTATGGCGACTCTTTCCGCGTCCTGAATATCTTATGCACGAGCCCATTAGCGGCAGAAACGTCGCGAGAATAAATGGCAGCCGCTTTTAAGGAGCTCGACATTCTATAGAATAGGAAACGCTCTATGAAAGGGAACACACCTTCATGCAAAAATGTGTTCTTACGAAAGCGGATTTGTACGATGATCGTAATAAATTATTGCGTCGTTTGTAATCGATGTCCCGACTATCGCTACCGTGGATCTCATTATTTTATATTCGCTTAAATTGAATTCTCTCAAAGTAATTCGCGTAATATTACATTGTAAAGGAAGCTACAAAATATAAAATGAGATAAAAATTTCAGAGAAAAAGATCGAGATACTGACAAAGGCGACTTTATCTTTTTTTCATAAAAATAAAAACATAAAATTTTTCTCTGATGTTTAATGTTTTATATTAAAATGTTTTTATTTATACCACTAGTTTTTATATATTTTGTTTGTTTTTAGATCTGTTAAAATCAAATATATAACGAGTATTGCACTCTTACTCCTATCTTTTATCCTTTATATGGTAGATGATGGGACAAGTTTAACACAGCTAATGGAATATGTGCTCTTTGATATAGCTAATGGAATGTGTGCTCTTCGGCAATATGTGTAGATTCAATTCATTTCTAATAAATTGCCATAGTAATTACATATATGCTCTATTTTGTTTTCACAGGTAGATACACCTGACAGTGTTCTTCAAAGCGGTTTGGGTCTCGGATCCGACATGGGACACACGATTCTTCGTTCGATGGTGGATCCTAGAGATTACGATCGACTGAGATATCTACAGATGAATGGCGGACAACCAAATAGTTTCGAAGAAACTATACATAGGGTAAATTTCATTTTATATTCATATTTTATAAAATAATGTTTAGAATCACTTATATGTGTCTGAAAATAATTTTGTTTCTAGTTTTAATCATATATATATTATTTGTGTTATTTTTATAAATATTGGATAGATTTTAAAATAATTATATAACGAAGACAGATAAAACGAATAGATAATAATTCGTGTTAGTAACAGAAATCTTGCGAGTGAAAGACGCTTGCTCTTACACAATGCATCATGATCTTTGAACTTAGTCGGAATGTTCGAAGTCACTCGCGAGAAAGTCGTCGATAAAACCTTTTTAAACGAAACTTAAGAACGCTTCCATTCCCTTGCATTTTTCAGCTGAAAGTTCAAGAGGCGCTACGAAAGAAAGAGCGATTCCACAAAGAGCACGAGGAGGTGAGTGCACCTTAAATCCACATCTATCTTTCGATTCTATAACGAGATTTTCGGGAAAACTCAGAGTCTTTACTAACGAACTTACTTGTAAAGAACCTTGCGGGAAAAGGTTGATGCCGAGGATCGCCGATGGCTTGCCGCCATCGCATGCGTCCGCGATTAAATTCGCTCGATCCCCTCCCGCAAATGGATGAAGTAGATTTATCCTTTCTTCCCCGCGCGTTTCCTTTAAATTGTATAATGCTCCTTTCGTGAGGATATATCTCTCCGCGTCTCTGTCTTTCTTGTACAAGAGTTCACGTCTCGCGTTTCGCGCGCGCGCGCGCAACATCGTGCACGAGCATGAGCGAGCGACAATTTTCGTTATCGTGCGTGCCGATCGTGATAAGACTGGCGCGCGCCGTATCGCGATTAAACCACCCCGCGGCTCGTTTATTTTCTTCCTGCGATTCCCTCGTGCATTGCCCGGATCATCGGCAACCCTCTTCTCGTCGTTCGACTGATATTGGCCCTGGGAGCCGGTAGCCTTATCCGATACAATCCTGCCTCCCGCATCGGAATTCTCGCAGAAATTTGCATATATGCGCTATCACCAAGGCCACCCCTCCTCCTCCACCGATTTCCCTCTACATATGTATGTGTGTTCATATCGCTGTCCCCCTCCGTTTTACGTACGCGCGCGAGAGCTCGTTCTCAGCTGGTCTTTTTGCCCTGTCTCTTTCCCCCCCTCCCTCTCTCTTCTTCCTCGGACTGTCTTTCGCCAACTCGATACCTCTTATTATGCAAAACAGCCAGATCAGCGTGATATCATCATAATCGTCAATGCATACCGCGACGTTGCACCGTGAATTTCTTATGCACGATCTCGCGATATACGCATTAGAGTTTTTCGTGTTTTTCTTATTTTCCGCTGTGGTTTCGCATCGTGTATGCCTGTTTTTCGTTATCCCGGTTTTCCGTCTCGTTTCTTCCTGTCTCGTGTTCGTGATCGCGAACTATAACATAAGGACATCGCGTAGATATATTTAACCGTTTATCGCTGGGTAATATTTGATTATTTAATTAAAATGAAAATGATGAGATCGTGTAATCGAGAAGGATACTTAATTAAAACATTGCACACTGAACGATAAAATCTGATGGATACTTGACTTGAGTTTTAATAAGAAAACGAGGGGAAATACAAAAATTGCAAGAATTATCAGAACAGAATAATTTTGTGATAAAATCAGTTAATTTGTTGCTGAGGATTCTATAGAAATATTAATAAACAACTTTTCTAATTATATTTTAATCCACAGTTTGATCTGAAATTCTTCAATATACTTTATTAAACAATACCTCGTTTTTGTCGATTTTTGATGGTAATTTACGATAAAAAGTTTATATCGTCATTAATTTATCTGGTATAAAAAAAAGGAATATATACGTGAAAAAGATCGCGATATACTAAATCAACTACTTGAAAGGAGTACACTCGGGATAATGTCGCGCGCGCGACTTTATTAAAAAATTAACTCCGTTAAAAAGTTAGCCGAACGTGTCGTATAAAAGTTATCTTTCCTTCTCTCTCGATTGTTCTCATCTCCGAGATGCTATTATTTGTTGACAAAGTTTCGCCATCGTAATTTCGCAATTTTCTGATAAAGGAATCAAATATTTCGAGGATTATGCAAACATAAAAGATTTTTGATTACGGTTACTGCATAATGCAAATGCAAAAATATACCGTTGTTAGATATTTAAAATTTTTGCAAAATTAAGTTTTACGAATTAAAAATAAATATTGAATTTTCACACTTGCACTTTAAGCCAACTTTAATGGCATTTCTAATTTTGTATATTAAAACATTTTATATCGTAAATCAAAAAGTTGCCGAAAGAGATTATCGTTTAATCAAATTTTCTCAAATGTAAAATAAACCTGTAAAATTAAGCCGAAAATTGTTACGTAGAATATAACACGGCAGATACGGCCGAAAATTCTACAGATATACGGTAATGAGGTAAAAGTGGCCGTTAAGACGTAAGACGGAACCGTTTCGATGCAATCAAGTACACCGTGCCGTTCATGCATAAGCGAACACCTATGTAACGCGCTGCTTCACGTGCGCTGTATTACACACGCTTCGCACGTAACAACATCGAGATTTAAGCCACGGTTGCAGCTTAGCTCGTTGCATATGTCGCGTATCCTCAAGAATTTCTCTCTCCCCTTCTATTCGAGCTCGTTCGCCGTTTGCCAAAAACTGCCCATTAGGGAAGGAGCGCGCGCGTAAAAGCGAAGTAATGGGTGGCGGGACGAACTCCAGTTAGGTTGAGAGCAACCGAGCACGAGTCGAGAGTTTTAATTACGCGGACGTAAGCTCCGCGAAATTTCGCGGAGTTTTAAAGGGGTAGAGAATGGGCCGTTGAAATATTCGAAAACTGGCGGCATTACGGGCCGCGAATTTGCACGTAGTGGCACGGTTCTTGGGGGGGGGGGGGGGGTCGAGAATGAGAAAAGGACGGCGGAGGCACCGAAGAAAGACATAGGAAGAAATAAAGCGGCCATGTTCCTTTGAGGCTACGAGGCAATATGGAAATAAGGGTCGGTATCCGTGTAAAAGTTTTAGTGTCACCTTCGCCTGCGCGGGTTTATTGCTCCCAAGAGAGAAGCTTCTCTTCTGTCTTTTTCTTCCCGGTTTTCTGCTGCCTCCTCTTCCTATTCTCCTCTCTTTTCCTCTCTCTCTCTTCTCCCTCGCTTTAGCTTTTATTTCGATTTGGTAGGGACCTACACAGCCGTAGGCGACCACCTCGACAACCTCCTTTTCCTCTTCCTCTTCTTCTTCCGTCCCAACTGCTGTTTCAATCTTTTTTCTCGCTCAGGAAACAACCTTTGACCGGGCTATCCCTCATCAGGACGTTATTTTTGCAACGTCCTGACCGATAATCGTTTTTCGTTTTGTTTCAACCGATTATCGGAACTTGCGGTCTTCCACGGCAGAAAAACCGCGTATATATGTACACAGTTTTTCTTTCCTTATTCTTCCTTTCATCTCTTCTTTGTTTTATCGTACGGTTGCGAGATCTCAAAAACATCGATGGTGGTCCAGTGGCCGGATAACGGCGATTATCCACCGTAAAAGAACCCGCGCATGTAAGTTCCCGGTAATACCATTTAAATTACACGCGATTACGCTACCGGTGGCGAGGCATCTCTTCTCGGCATGAAATTTAGTCCTTAGGCGCGCAATTACTTCAATTAACTACTTATGTAGAAACGCAATTTGCGTAGAAATGATAGGCAAACGTGTAAAATTTATAACGAAAGTCTAGCATATTTAAATAATACGTTTGAATTAAATAGTATAAATTTAAATAATAAAAAATTAAACAATATATATAAATTTAATAGTTATATGCACAATGTGAAGCTTTAAGCGAAGGAGAGAGGAACTTTAAAAGCTTAATCATTGCACTTAAAGTTCATAAGACTTAATTAACAAGAAGACATATAAAAGTTAATCCATAAGTATTTGCATGAGAACGATGCACAGATAACAAGTTTTCCTTATATGCAGTGATTATATTAGATATTATCTTTGTATATTTTTATTTAATATAATGTTTCACAATATTCCAAGAAATTATTCGAATCATATTTTCCAACTCAAAAACGTACTTTCTTTTAGTTTCCCTTTTTTTATTAGATAAAATATTAAATGAACGGGATGATACTTTTCTTTATTTATTCTTTATTTTTTTTATTAGATAAAGAATCAAATTAACAAAAAGTTTGCGTGATATTAAATTAGTTTGCATAATTTTTGAATCGGTAATTTAACAATATGATAACAAATAAAATGTTTTAAAATCTTGCGTTATCTCAATTCTTGAAACGTTTATCTTCGATAATCAGGAGAGAATTGCGCTGAAATCGATGAAAGCAATTCTGCGGCATGCAAACATCAGAGCGAATGCGGCTAATAGCAGGTTTTAATCACAATGCCGGATAAACATTTACCCACGACATCATCATTGTTGCTGTTTCAGATACTAAGGGATATCCGGCAGGGTTTAATGCAGCTAGGACGAGACGGACGGGGTCAGCTCCCTGGGGGTAAGTACATCAAGGACTAACCTCCAGCTAGTTGTCGCCTTGTCTCTCCACGACCTATAACCCGCCCTCTCGCAACCCGTCTACGTACGTGTGGGTGCGCATACATGTTCAGTGTAGAACAGAGACGTGCTGGTATGCGTGCACGTTGAACAAAACGCGCACGTGCCAACCGGTATGAGAATCGACTCCCAAATGCCTGACACCTCGTATGTAGTCGTTCACTCTCGCGAGACTCATTTTGAGCATTCGTTTCCTGATGGCTCCTCTTCTAGTCTTTTTCAGGAAATCTCGCTCCCCGTAGCCTCAGCAGCTTTTCACGATAAAGTGGAAGCGCACCGGAATGACACCAAAAAGGCAACAGAAAAGAGAAAAAAAAACTTTCGCTATAAAGCTTATCCAATTAACGTCAAAGTTGTAAAAAAAAAAAAAAAAAAACTAAAACAAAAATATTTCAGGAAAAAATATACATGTTTTTAAAATTAATAATATACTTCTAAAATATTAATCAGTCAAAAAAAGATACTTAGAAAATTGCTTGGAAAATTATATAAATTTATGAGAATAATTAAAATTTAAAATTAAAGTGTTGTAATAATCATAGTGAACGATTAATGTTATTTTACACATTCCAGCATGAGTGGAACATGCTCTATGCTTTATTGTCGATTTATCACCATTGCGCTGGTTTTATTTCCTATTCACAAAGGCTGCTACGGCACGGCTGCGTCGTGAAGCCCCTCGTATACGCAAACTAATCTTGTTATTGTTAGCGCCCGCCATCTTCAATTCCCAAACCCTCTCTTTCCTCGCACAATCGTATTCACGCTTGTAATTCCCAGATTTCTATACCAAAAATGAATCTAAATTCTCTTAACTTCGTCATTATTAAATATAATTTAATGCATTATTTTCATGATAATCGATTTTGATATTCGATTGTACAATAGTACATTTTCATAAATTTCAGTACATGTTTATAATGTAAAATATCGTTTATTTGTTATAGATTTAAAAAATTTTTAATTAAACGAATATAGAAAAAACAATTATTTATTTAAAATTATCAATTTCCATATTTAAATTTACATATCTAAAAAGACGGAACGAAACGCGTTGATTCGCAGATGATACGTATATGTACGATGAAGACGCGCGATGCGGAGGTGCGGGCGTTTTAGGACCAGGTGGTCAACATTGGTACGACGAACCACCTTACGAATCCGATCCCGAAGACTTTCTTATGGGAGCTAGCGGTGGTCCGGTACCTACCGCGACTATCCAAAATGGAAGGTAACGTTTCCATTTGATTTAAAGCACTTTAAATAAACGTAAATAAATTTTCTCGATTTTATCAACAAATACTTGATAACGTATCAGATCCAAACATAGCTGTAAATTAAGAATCATTATTTTCTCGCATTATAATTAAATGGTACGATCGAACGTCAGGGTATGCTTTACACTGAACTTGAGGCCGGAGAATCGAGGGGAGGGCGTGATCTCTCTTCGAACAGCTGGCGATATCAGTTTGCCGCGCGATCGTTCGAGAAAAGGTGCGACGTCGACGATGCGAGGTCTCATCGTTCCTCAGGGTCACAATAATCCGCCGACGATTATACCCTTAACCCATTCAAGGGCTTCGCGTGAGAGCGGAGATTACGCGAGTAGCGACGTGCAGGTAAGTCCACCGTCGTCGTACGATGATCCGGGCAACCACCATGTGTGCCACAGTCTGTAAACTTTGCGCCGTAAACATTATATCGTCGTCTCTTTGTCGCTATAGTCAAATTACATCGTCTTGTGTGCACTTCGATATTATAATAAACGGCGGAACATATCTGGCGAATAATCAGCCTGTTGTAAATACAAATATTAAAAAAATGATCTATTGTAATTCACAATTTTTCTGTTATGTAATTTCTCTTATTTAATTAAGAGAGTAGCGTGGCTAATCAAATTTGGCAAATTGAAAAAGTAGCACACGCTACCTCGCTCCATGTGATTCCGCCGCTCGAGATGACTAAATTATCGTACTCTAAGTCACGAATCTCGTTATAAGTCGCGGGTAATTGTTATTGCGCCGAGGCGTAATATCGAAGGACCAATTACCAGTCTAGATAAATCTTGTTAGATCGTAGCTCCACATAGCGGAATTACATTAGTCACTGCGTTCCGATAAGTCCCACGTAGAAAGGCCGTTGTTGCTTGGTTCCCGTCCAAGTACCAATCTCCCTCGCGAAAAGCGCAAATTTCTTGTCCCATGGGTGTTTATTTAGGGAAAAGGAGGGAGGGGTGGTCGCTTACGTTCTCTCGCGGGCGTGTGTCACGGCGTGATTTATTTAATTATGGGGCTGCAGAGTGTGAGCTCGAGACTGTCGACTGTGTCGGTGGACACGAGTAGGAGCGACCAGCCTCCGGTGGGCGGTTGCCATCCCGATCGGCCGGAGCATCACCATGAGCACCATCACAACCATCGTCATCATCACGACCATCACCACTCGGTCTCACCCCGATCCAATCAGCGTCACCCCGTCGCTACTAGCACGACCGTAACCAACACCGTCGACGCAACGTCACCGCAAAGCAACGCGCAACGTCGCCCGATCCCCAGATATGTTCGTATCTGCCGAACTCGTATACTTGGATAACGTATGGATCCCGTTTCCTCTACCCTGCACAAACACACCGCCAGTTTCCATACTACTAACCCACCTGTGCACTTTTCCACGCACATGACGTACGTGTTCGGTCCGTTGCACCACCGTACAGACATCGGGCGTCTTTAAACCAGGAAGCGGGAGATACGGGGGGAAAACCGCGATACAGTGATCGCCGTACGCGAATGATTCGACAGCCGCATCTGCTATGTTTTAGAGAGAAAGAGAGGTAGTCGGTCTCCGGTATGTTGGCGCTCAATCGAGGCACCGAGAGCCATTCGATCCATTTGTCAGACCGACAATTAGATCCGTGATTTACGGATTGTTTGCGTGGAATCAATGGCCGTGCGACGACCGATGCGGCGGTTACGCTGAAATTAATGTCGAATTTTCGTTGGTCGGTCTCTCTTTCATCTGCCGAGTAAACGTTATTCTTTGTAGACTTCGCAAACTTGATAACGAGCACTATTTTTGCGATAGAACGTCGCGTCGTTTGCCAACGTGTTCTGTTTAAATTATCGAGAAATCGTATGCTTCCCATAATTTTTTTCCATTCTTTTTCTTCCATTAATATATTTGAGATATCAATAAAGATGAAATATCGCATTTCTTTTATTAAAAAATATAAGAAATTTAAAGTAAAATTTAAATAGATCAATTATCAAGAAAATTGATAATTATTGAAAATTTTAAATAAAAGTATTTAATTTTTCTAAATGCGTAATAAAAAAAATATAGTTATGGAATTTCTAGCAAACTTTTCATAATTTTCTAATAATATTTTAAATAGAAAATATTAGAGAATTCAAAGTTTATCACATTTTTGAGATGGAAAAGATTAATATTTAAAAAATCGGTGAAATATCTCGTTCGCGCACGTATGTCTATATAGATTTATATATTTACTGTAGTTTAATCACACACGCGTACGTGATAGTCGAACGTGTAACATTATGATAATCGTGCTTGACGTTCAAGCAAAAACTGGAAAACCTCATAATCTGATCAGAGCACCCTAGAATGAGGTGTCTCATTTCCTGCTCTGACGCCTACACAGCACTGACAGCCTCTATGTGTATAAATAATACTCACACACTGACACGCCAATATTAAGTATATCACTAACCCATCTAGACCGGCGTAGCCTGCATACGTTATTTACTTCTTCTTATGTATAACACGCAACTCCCCTCTATTAATATATCGAATGTAACATGGTTAACATGGTGTGCAACATTTTATATACTTAATCCCCAAGACTCATACATATTTGCTGCTATTATTTAGTTTGCTACGTGACAGTTACCTCGAAAGAAATATATTTAAAAACGGTTGACGGATTTATATGCAATTTTTAAATATTTTAAAAATAATTTTATATTAATAAATAAACGGAAAAAAGTTTTAATCGTAATTTTATAAATTCTTTTACTAATTAAAGTTATGAATTATTTTTTATTCATGAATTATGATACGTATACGTTTTGAAATAATTAATATCGCTGAGTAAAACTTTTGGAATCAAATAAAAAATGTTGTATATTTTAGATTAATGGTATATATAATGTGTAGTGAGATCCAGTTTTATATACTTAATATGTTTTAAAAATACTTTTGAGGTGGCCATCGTGTTTGCACGTACATTATATAATGATTTTTGACATTGGGTTCATATCTCTATGTCTCCCACACACCTGCTCTACCACGCTGGTGACAGTCTCGTATTCGATATCACCTAGCGATGCTCGTAATCGTCGCCCCCTATCTAACAGCATCCGCGCGCTATTAGATCCATCATAGTGTCCGCTTTTCCCTCTCATGCGCTGTTAGAACTGTTTCCCGCGAGTCTCAACGTTTTAGAGCCGGAGTAGCGGCGAGGAGGGACTATCGCCCAGCCAGAGCAGCGACTATGAAGATCAAGAGGAACTCGAGAGTCAACACTCGGCCGCTGTACACACAGTATGTAACATATGAGGATATTCCTTTGAGAAAACCAGTAGATTCTATCTCACCGTCCGCACTATTTCCCTCTTCATTATTTCTGCGCGTATGCTCCAACGCATGACATCGTTAATCATTATTACACGAACAGCCGACGTTCAAACAGTACGATAACTAAGAAAAATATACTTGTGCACGACTATCATTTAGGCGATTAGTAGAATCGTGAAATTATTGCTTGTCCTCTGTTTTGTGTTTCTATGTCGTGTAAAGGTGAGTATATTTCCGAATAAAAAATATGCACTAAATATTTGATGCATGCGTGCATTTCGAAAAGAAATAATTGTGATTAAAAATTATATTGTAAAAATATTTTAATTTATAATTTTCTGCCATTATTAAGTTAGGCGAAATTGTTGCCATGTGAAAGCTACAAGAGATTAGAGGGAAAAAATAATATGAAAAATCGATCATGTATGAAAATATTTGTGTTGTACTGATATTTATCCAAAATTTCGCTTTAAATCCTGCCACAATGCTCAGTTGAACCGCGAATACTCATAGTGCTTAATAATACATGAATTCACATATACTGATCTCATTCGGAAACTAATCCGCGTTTGCATTAAACCTGCAGTTATGTCGTTAATTGTCTGTCACACAAGTACAGGCTTTGGTCATACGCCTTAATGAGTATGCCTATCATGAATAAACACACTGTGACAACGACGTGTAATATGCAATCTCCCATTGAAATGCATAACGTCGATATAACGTTGTTTCATTACCATTATATAAACAGGTGAGAAATATGAATGTTATTAGAGGATCAATCTAATAGACCGAATTGCATGACAACTCACGAAAACGAAATTATCCAAGTCCGTTCTCATTCTTATTTCGAGTACACATTAATTTCCTTTGAAAATTTAACGCCCGCACTATTTACCTCTCTTTTTTCGTTGATGCAGCATGCTTTTTAAATAGCATCTCAACACCATAAAATACACGCAAGCACAGCACCTTTAAACCTGCTCATAAATTATACAATCACAAGATGTTGATCTATTCCACCGACAAGTCGACGGTAGCGTATAAATTCGGAGACGAAAATAATTTGCTACTGTCAAAGTCTTTCACGATCGTTTGCAATCGATGCATGCGTTGAATCTAACAAAAAATGAGACCACTCGAGTATAGAATAATTCTGTATAATTCCGTGTCACAAGTTTTTGTTCTTATTTCTCGAGGAGTTACGTGAAAGAATACGTTTTTTTTTTTTCTTTTTTAAGAAGAGTGCGAGAGATTCAAATTAATGATTAATAATTATATTTTTTTAGTTTGATATGAAATATAATAATTTACTGTTATTTATAAAATATTAGTATAATTCAATTCTTTAAGTTACTGATCGAAAAATAGAATTCGCGCTTTTCGACGGACAACACTTTTCACATGAAGCGATCGGCTTGCGCGATTCTTCATCGTGCCACATTCCAGGGCGTCATAAATGCATTATTGAAAATGGCTCGGCCAATGGAGATCCTTATTTCACATAGCTCCTCGATTTAATTAACGCGCCTCGAGAGCGCATTCGTCGTTCTTTTCTCATTCGTCGGTGCATTCGACGGAGAGCACTGTATTCCGGGCACGGTGCAGTATTCCGGACACCTCGATGTTCTCGAAAACTCAATTAAAATTTCCAGTCGGAGGCCAGCGCTCTGCTGGAGGGCGACGCCAGGGCGGGAATCGCGGGCCGGGCGAGGAATTTGAGGCACGACGTGCAACGAAAGATCTCGAGGCTACGCCAGGATCGCGCGTCCTCGGAAGCCTTCCCGTGCAGCGCGAGCAGCGTCGAGAGCCTGCCGAGTGGAAGCGGCTCGAGCACGCAGGCACTGGTCCGAGCGGGAAGCAATCACAGCTCGATATCCTGCGAGGACAGGGACGCCGTCAGCCCGACGTCTATCGGACCTGTCCTCTGTAGAGCGAGGGCGCTCGTAGATTACACCCCCAGTCCGTACGACAAGGACGCGCTCAAGTTCAAGGTCCGTCCCCGCGATAATTGATTTATGGCCGGAATTTCACGAGAAACTCCGTGCCAAAGCGTCAATGACGTAGCGCGCGCGGATAAATTTATCGCGTGTAAATTATTCAGACGATTTGTATAATTGACAACGTTAACACTGTTCTCAATTTGATGTCTTCGTTTTTAAACGTTTTATAGATTTAAAATTTAAAGGAATTTTTTTGATATATATTCCACGTCGTTTGATTAAACGTATCGTGACGATGAAAGGGTTTCTCTTGCGAATGTTTGCGTGGCTACATTGTTTCAGAAGGGGGACATAATCGATGTGGTACAAATGAACAAGAGCGGGCTGTGGAAGGGCGTCGTGCACAACAGGATAGGCCACTTCAAGTTCATAAACGTCGAGATACTGAACGACAGGGTACCTAGGCGAGGGGAACCGGAGCGGGGCAAGTGGGGTCAGAGATATAGGCAGAAGCCGGGTTCCGTTCAAGAGCTCTTGCAGAGAATGAATCTTCAGGTAGAGAGAGAGAGAGAGAGAGAGGGAGAGAGCAATATCTCGCCGCAGCTCGAACAAACTGATTCGCATTTGCATGGCGTCGAATGCAAAGTAGAGAACCTGCTTTTATACGTTTCTTTATTCGGTGTCCCTATCGCGCTCTCTCTTCCGTTTCCCTTCATCCCTTCTCGCACCCTCCATCGCAACAGCTTTCTAGCTTATACCTTATACAACTCGCAGATTCCACAGACCATGACGAGTCCTTTTTGTTCGATTTTTCTTCTTCCTATTCGTCTCTCTTTCTCTGTCTTCCTCTTCGTTTCTCGCCGTTTGTCTCCGCCTTGCTCATTTTTATTCTCACCCGATACACGTTCTGTTCTTTCCTTTATCACTTCTTGGTCTTTCAACTTCCTTCTGACTTTCACACTCGATTTATACGAAATATTCTGAAACCTTATCTTTTCAACCGCAGATATTAAAAAAGATATTTATGGGATTAAATCCCAAGAGTGTATAAATATATAACAAAAAAATTTATTTTCTAATTAATTTTAATATATTTTGCGCTTTGTTTTTTATCTTGACAGAAACTTTATTTAAGGCTTAATTGTATCGATATTCCGTATTGCATATTTAAAAAAAAATGTTTTTTATTAGAAATTGTATATACAATCCTCAAAAAAGAAAAGTCGACTTAAAATTTATTAAAGAAATTACGGCTAGAAGCACATTCGGCAGTTGTCGGATATTACATATATAATCTCGGGATTCGACAACAAATTAGGTTTGATCCTGAATCACTGTCGAAGGTTCAAGAGGCGCGTCTCGCAGAGTCTCCCTATCGAAGGAACGGAAACGGCAGGAAGGGATAGAACGAAATGATAGGGCGAGGAATCGCTGTACCGGAAACGTCGGTTCCGATTCGGGGAGCCGTGCCACTTAATTAAGCCACTATGATCGATCGTTTAATGAGCGCCGTAGATTCATCCGTGTGCACCTTTTCAACGTCTCGGTATACACTTAATTGAAGCTCGAGTAACTCTCTGTGCGAATTATATCAGCGGACGGAGTTCCAAAGTATCCACTTCCCGGCTGACTGCCCAAGATCGTCGTTAAATTTCGTGTGACTATACGGCCCCTCTAAAATGTTCAATCATTGAATATCTTAGAAGTCGCGATACTTTAAATTCTTTGAAGCAAACGCTGTCATGATTATAATATCCTTCTGTGCTAAATCGAGCTTACTGAGATTTTCCTCGATTGGAAGCTTTTCAACGTTTGATCATATCGGTTTTATTATATCGCGACATATATTTTGCAAAAATTTTTCTAGTGCATAAATTATGAATATCAAACAAATCGAAAAAAAACACTATACATAATATAAAAAAATATTTTTAGTTGTTTTTTAAAATTATTTTTTATATCGCGTTTAATATTATACAAAATATTACAAAATATAACGCTCAATTTAACGTTTTTTGATCGAAGTATGAGAAAAATTGCCTTAAATAAAGATCCATAGAAATTTTAAAAGCCTTTTTTTACGAGTGAATTGTTCAAAGCTCTGTTACGGTGAAACTAGTATCTCAAAGATGAATGTTACGCTCGCGCAGGAACATATTCCAGTTTTTATATTGAACGGATACGAGGATCTCGAGCTCTTCAGGGAGTTGGAGGCGGCGGATCTGGACTATTTGCGTATACATCAACCCGAGGATCGTGCCAAGATACTCACAGCCGTGCAGCTTCTACACGATCTTCAGTGTGAGTATACCGAACAAACCGGCTACATATGTATTATTCACGGTTCCCTAAAGACCTTTTCATCATCGTCGCTATTCGTCTTGCTGCATATATCGTGTTACAATTAATACGACTGGTATATCTTAAAAATTTGTTACAATTTCTTAGAGAAGCAGAACGAAATTTTTTTTATATTATTTAATACAAAAAAAAATTTAATCTAAAAAGAATCTCTAATAACATTAAGTTATAACTCAATTACTTGCTCTAAAAGAGTGCTGAGAAAAGAGATATGAGAATGAGAAATTTAAAAATTTTATTTAGACATTCTGTTTCTGTTTTTCATAAAAAAATAAAGATTTTTAAAAAAGAAATAACATCCTGGACATGTGTTTATTTTATCAAAATTATTAACACATTTATTAGTAGAGTTACGAGTATAAATTGAATTAGTCGCGAAATCTCACGCACGCGTTTTTTTTTTCATCTGTTTTTACAGCGGGTAGCGAAGGTGACCTGGCTTCGAGTTCGGAGGGTGACGAGGTCAGCCGTCTGGTCTTAACCTCTGGCCAGACGTCCGGCCACTGTTCTCCCTTCAACCGACGCCAGTTCCCGCGGGATTCCGGCTGCTACGATGCGCACAAGAATACGACCAGTCGGCGGACCATCAGCCCGGAATCAACCACGACGTCGAAGCTGTCGAGAGAGAACAATTTGGATAGCGCGTCGACGGCAGCTACGAAGAACGCCAGCGGTGCGGCCGCCACGGAGGGTGGTTTGGTCGATCCGAAGGACGACTTCCATCCCAATATACCGATCTCCGGCCCGGTAGAAAGGAAAGAGAACCAATTCGAGAAATCGCCGTTGCTGCGGGGCGGCAGCGTGCGATATATCGCGAAAAGAGGTACCTTCGGCGAGACGGTGGTCATCGAGGACACTTGCGAAAGTGGCCCGAAATTGGGCGGTATGGTCAAGTACATGGTCGGCGGTGCCGGCGATCTCGGCCTCGAGAGCGCCAGCAACGTCACCGGTCTCGGTCAGCGCGGTTGTCTCAGCGAGAAATCGAGCGACTCCGGCGTCAGCTCGTCCAGCATCAGCTCGGCGCCTCCGCCTAGGGACAAGGTCCTCGCATCAGCCAGCGCCCTTTCGGACTCGCCGACCAAGACCTTTGGTAGCTTCACCAGAGCCTCGCCGACTTCCCAGGGTGGCAGCAAAACTCAGAACAACGATGGGAGCTACCAATGAGAGAAGCAGCATCGAATCGGTACGTCGATGAGTCGCGGCGCGATCTTGAGCCCGAAGGTAAGAAAAATAAAAATGGGAGAATTGCTTAATGATCTTAATGGGGAACCGATTGAGCAGCCTTAATTCAGATTCAAATGAGATTTACGTGATCGCGATCGTCTCTGGGCTACGATTCGTCCGCGAAAAAATTGAGCAATGTCGGGATCAACGAATATTACGGATATGTATTTTGTATTCGGTAAGAAAAATACAACTTCCGAATCCGATCTTAATGAGAACAAGATGTTTCTTCCACTCCGAATAACTTGCAGAGTTAAAGCAATTCTAACGAGATTGATAATAATAATAATTGACAAATGCTATATTTGCTCGTTGTAAAGTATGCGGTGCATACAAACGCATCTCGATTTAAATACGCAAAGCAATATCTTATATTTTCTGTTATTTTTATTGAAAAAATATAAATAATAAGATCTTACTTTGTTTGATAATTTTTGTCACGAACGCGCGTGATCATAAATTTTAATATCTCTTGACACCCGCTGATATTAACGTCGGGAGAATATTTTGTTATTCCGTATCTTGAATATTTGGGAATGGCGAGGGAGAGTGATGAAAAGAACTGAGGCAAAAATCACGCAAAATTCTGAAACTCAGAATTTTTAAATTTATAATAAGAGCTGCCGGAAGGATGCGCGAGCAAAGTTTCTTACGTTTGATTCGAAAGAGGTGCGTTTGATGAGAAGGGCGAGGCTGACAATGATGATGTCACTGCCAGTCATCATTCTGATCATAACACCTTGCCGATTGCTCTTGGTTTATCGAAACCAAGCCAAGTTACATCGCCTACGTAATTGTGTAATTAATAATAGTAATAATAATAAGCGAAGAATACTATGTGATACGGTAGCAATATACGATCGATTAATCGAGTAGGTAGAGAAGAAAGAAACGACGGCCAGCGACGACGTGAATCGTCGTCGCGATCCAATGCGTACAATAAATATAAATGACGAGAAAAAAATGAAGAAATAAAAAGATTGTAAATAACGAATATGCGTGTCCATTAGTTTTGATTTCGCGTTTGGTATTATCTGTCGATTTCATCTCAGCGACGACCTCGCGATCATTGCAGACACTATATAGTTTGTCCGACATATAGTCTGTCAAAAACTGCCAGCGTTATCGAGTTTTTGTCTCTCTTCAGATAGCGATCTCTTATCTCATATATTTTAACGTCTTTTATACGTTAAATCGATCTCATCGCTATATAAAAGACGTGTGTAAACCGTACGAGAAATAGTTATGAATGATCTTGAGACAATTTTCTCGCTTAAATATAATAAACTCGCGAGGATCCATCTTTCTTATCCGGTGATGTAGACGGATTATCGGATCACAGGATGCCTTACGAGCGTTTTTCACTCTTACTTATAATTAGCTTATTTACGCGACTTTAATAAAGCTTACACTCGAACGTCGACTCTCGCGAGGGAATATCTCGTTTATTTTTCACCTTTCGCATAATTTTGTACGAAATAGGCGGCGACACGAAATTTCCATGAAACGGCGCCGATTATTATGCCGCATCGCTTACTATTACGATCGACAATCCCCCATCGTCGATGCGACTCATCAGTTCTTCGACACGATGGTAATCTGTACATGTGTATATTGACCATGCCACGGGAGAGGAAAACGTTGAAAGTTACAGAGATTTTGTATGTACGTATATATACATATACATATATACATATATATGTATATATATATGCGTAGACTTAATGATGTTTTGTATTGACCTTGCCCGTTTGCCAAAATTTAAGACTAGGCTCTATACATACGCGATATACTATATA